TCATTTTGACACGGGAAAGTGCTAATTCTGACCCTGTAAAGCATTCGGCCAAATAAAGTCCGTATTCCGGATCAATCTGACTAGGGACTTTTTAGAATCTATCTAGCTACTGGCTATAAGTATCCGGATTCCCCCCCCCCGCCCCCAACACACAGTCTGATCTCTGGATTCGCCCATATCTACCTGCTTGATTCAAGGAATCAAAAGTTGTTTCGTTCATCTACTGCGATTATGTACATCGAATGGTAGACCTACGCAACAACTTTGTGTTAAGCGGCTGTCATGACTTCTGTTTGGATTTTAGAATTCGAAATATTTGCAGCCACTGTCCAGCCGTATGTTCTTCACGTCGGCTTCGTTACGGGTGATGCTGTTCAACTGGCAAATCAACTCTCCGGGGCCGCCTCGTCGCAGATTGAAGGAGCGGCATCGAGGTTCATCCCGGCACGCCGAGCCGCACGCGATGACACCCTTGGCTGAGAACTCCATAATGACGTGACCGGTGAGGCAGTGGGATGAGGAGCGGGCGTCGGCGTAGCGTTGCAGGCAAGACATCGTGGGCACGGCAAGCGAAATGGGACTCTCACATATGATGGACTTTCTAATACCGCAGTAAGTGTCATCCATAAGACCGTTTCGGCTACGCCACAGGTCTATACAATCGTGATAACTATTTCCCCCTTTTGGTTCTCCTGGTGCCCATTTGAAGAGGTCGCACCTTCCTCCCTCACCAGACTGCATCCACTTGCCTTCCTCCTCCCTGTCATTACATCCGATCCAAAGATCCCCTACTGTAACGATTCTTGTGAACATCTCCCAGATGAACTGATGCTCGTCCAAGGAGTCAGGAACCGCCAAGGCAGCGCCCATCTCCGAGCAGGCAGCATCACCCTGGTCCCACGTCATTCTCTCGGTCAGGAGTTGATAACAAGAACCCCCGAATCTCTGCTGGCCGGGTTGGCAAGCCTTGGCGTAAAAACACGCACAGACGATCGCAGCATTCAGCCAAAGCAGCTTCATCGTGCAACCTGGATTCGTAAGTGTTAAAGTTGAACAATCTCACAAAGTAAAATTTCAAGAGGAACGGAGCAACCAGTCGTCAGATAGTCAGATCTATCACTGCTGAAAGCCAGAATTCTAAATGAACCCTCTTAACATCGACGTTGCATGTGATTTGTGTAATGGCACGGGTCTCTTCTTGACCACACCGTGTTGTTTCGTGCAGCAGTTTAGGAGTTGATTGCCTGCATGCGTGGTTTTCATTAAAATCAGCTTTAATAATAATAATTAGTAGGTATTTTATAAAGCGCACACACATATCCACCTGGACTGGTGCTCAAAAAGGCTCTACATCATTTTTTTTTTATCCCTGCTCATCAAGGGCGGATCCAGAGGGGGGCCAAAGGGGGCCATGCCCCCCCCCCCCCAAAAAAAAGAAACCATTTTTTTTTTTTCATGTGACATCGCAATAAAGGCAGGCAATGAGTACACCACCATCTTTTCCTCAAAACAACATTGGTTAAAGTGGCCAGAAATTGCCTCAGATCGCACCACAGAGCATCTAGAATCCAAAAAAAATTCGGGGCCCTTTTGCGGGCCCCGAACCCCACGCCGTATTTTTTTTGACCCACTTTTTTGGGGAACCCAAATTTTTTGGGCCCTCCCCAAAATTGTGTTCTGGATCCGCCCTTGCTGCTCATCAGGCTCATGAAACATTTCAAATACCATCTCAGCTACCTGGGGAGTATACAGCTCGATGCTGCCTGTTAGGCTCAAGGAAGCTAATTCAATCACAATAATATCATCTCTGCCCTCACGTGGTACCCATTTACTCCTTAAGATCGTGTCCCAAACTCATCGCTTAGACCTATGGCTACGTCTATCTTCAGCATCTTCCTACGTCATTGTAAGACCAAGACATAGCCTCTGAACGAGAGATTCGGAGGCGGTTGATGATTTCGTGTTTTCCTTGATAATAAATTGATTGTATACTTATTGTTACGTTTCCACAGCAACCTATTAGCAATGCTGATTGGCAATTGCGGGTCCATTAGCCATTCGATAGCTAGGAAAAGGTCGTTTTGATCGAGCGTGTTCTTCTCCTGATGTAGGTTCTATTCGTGTTGTGGCTGAATTCTAAAACATTCGCAGATCTGCTGTAAACGAATCGTATTGGGTTGACTAAAAAGGCTATTGAATTATGAACTGGTCGGTGGACAAAAATCGTTGCCGGATAATTTTTTAGTACAATCTTTAAAACTTGTCGGGGCCCTTAAACGGGCCCCGGACCCCACGCCGTAATTTTTTTGACCCACTTTTTAGGGGAACCCAAAAATATTTTGGCCCCCCCCCCCAAAAAAAATTGTGTTCTGGATCCGCCCTTGACTCCGGCCGCAGCCATTTGACAAGGCATCGGGACGAAGTCAAAGTTTTATCTTAGAAACGTTATTTTTCAGTAGGATACTACATGTATATAGCAGCAATTTTCTTCTTTTTTTCTGATACGAGGCTCTTAAGGATTTTTTTTTAAAAGGGAAATAAAGTCCGAAATCCGTACCAAGTTGAAAAATAGTAGCCTCCACTCCAGCCTGTTTATAATAAAAATGCCCCATAGGAAAGCACACAAGGTATTCCAGATAGTTGTGTAATAAAAAAATATCGCCATCGGCCAATGGGGTGCGCCCACGGCGGTGGTATGGTACGGTGCAACCTCGTCTCCAGGGTGTCGAGCAGTACGCCCCACCACTACCTGCTCTCTCACCCTGGTATTGGATCATTTGCATGTGCAAGATTTTTGCACACGTATGCAAATGAGGAACAGTCTGGTGCCTGGATATGCGGTACACATTAGCGTTTGCTTTTGTATGCGGTGTCTGGGGTAAAAACAGAGTCAATTCGTGTTTACCTTGATAATAAATTGATTGTATACTTATTGTTACGTTTCCACAGCAACCTATTAGCAATGCTGATTGGCAATTGCGGGTCCATTAGCCATTCGATAGCTAGGAAAAGGTCGTTTTGATCGAGCGTGTTCTTCTCCTGATGTAGGTTCTATTCGTGTTGTGGCTGAATTCTAAAACATTCGCAGATCTGCTGTAAACGAATCGTATTGGGTTGACTAAAAAGGCTATTGAATTATGAACTGGTCGGTGGACAAAAATCGTTGCCGGCTAATTTTTTAGTACAATCTTTAAAACTTTTTTTTTTTTAAGAAAACCGTACATTTCATTTTACAATTGATCGCTGGATACGTCATATACCAATCGTACCCAGATATCTCCTCTAAACGCTTCACCTGGAAGTGCAGCAGTTCACAAACTAGGCGTCAGGCCAAAAAAAAAAGTCTCCGGTTTCTGGTATGGAGCTTGTCTAAAAAGTGGTGCGGCGACGCGGCTTTTTTTTTTTTTAACCCGACTTTTTTGCTTCAAATGTCGGCTGATGACTGCAAATGGTGCCCGACTAAACTTAGTGCAAATATATGGGAGTCCAGAGAGGCCACATAAAGCTTATTCTCGATCATAACCCCATCTAAAAACACGTTGAAATTGCGCAGCAGCAGAATTCCAGTCAAACCTGTGAGTTTGGCGGTTTTGAGACATCATCTTTCATTGAAAAAAAAACTTTTTCATTTTGCCGACGCGCATGGCTACGGCGACGCGCGCGCATACCAGAAACCGGAGACTTTTTTTTTTGGCCTAATCGAAAAATTGGCCGGAATTCTGCGGCTGGAAACAACACGTGCGCCTATGGAAGCCAATGTTACTCCGCCCAAGGGCGGATCCAGGGGGGGGGGCCAAAGGGGGCCATGGCCCCCCCCCCCCCAAAAAAAACGAAACCAATTTTTTTTTTTTATGTGACATCGCAATAAAGGCAGGCAATGAGTGCACCACCATTTTTTCCTCAAAAAAACATTGGTTAAAGTGGTCAGAAATTGCCTCAGATCGCACCACAGAGCATCTAGAATCCAAAAAAAAATGTCGGGGCCCTTAAACGGGCCCCGGACCCCACGCCGTAATTTTTTTGACCCACTTTTTAGGGGAACCCAAAAATATTTTGGCCCCCCCCCAAAAAAAAAAATTGTGTTCTGGATCCGCCCTTGACTCCGGCCGCAGCCATTTGACAAGGCATCGGGACGAAGTCAAAGTTTTATCTTAGAAACGTTATTTTTCAGTAGGATACTACATGTATATAGCAGCAATTTTCTTCTTTTTTTCTGATACGAGGCTCTTAAGGATTTTTTTTTAAAAGGGAAATAAAGTCCGAAATCCGTACCAAGTTGAAAAATAGTAGCCTCCACTCCAGCCTGTTTATAATAAAAATGCCCCATAGGAAAGCGCACAAGGTATTCCAGATAGTTGTGTAATAAAAAATATCGCCATCGGCCAATGGGGTGCGCCCACGGCGGTGGTATGGTACGGTGCAACCTCGTCTCCAGGGTGTCGAGCAGTACGCCCCACCACTACCTGCTCTCTCACCCTGGTATTGGATCATTTGCATGTGCAAGATTTTTGCACACGTATGCAAATGAGGAACAGTCTGGTGCCTGGATATGCGGTACACATTAGCGTTTGCTTTTGTATGCGGTGTCTGGGGTAAAAACAGAGTCAATTCGTAGCAGCGCGAGCACGGCGTGAGTTACGAAAACACGATTTTTGAAATAAAACTGTTACGATCTTATCGAGACAACATGCAGTATCATATTTCATATTAATATGAGCAAATTGGAAAGGAAATTAGTATTTTCGAGAAGGCGTGGACGAATGATCGCGAAAACACGTACTGCACGTTGTGAATATATAGCACCAAGTACACGATATAAATCCATTACTAGCCAATTGCGGTATCCAATCAGGATACAGGAAGAAAGTTTCCTATCCAGGGTTTACTATTGGAAACGCGGTTGGAAATAAAGTAAGCACTGGGGACGAGGTTGGGTACGGTGGTACGTAATGTATGTAAGGGGGGAGAGTATTATACGAAAGTGAAAGTTCGTCGCTGGGTGGCGCTATTCAGATTTGTGATGGGCGAATGGCGAAGTGTGTGTGGACATGGTGGACGGGGAGTCGTGTTTACCTTGACCACGAATCTATTTTTCTAGTAGTACTAATGATAGAACTGTTTGCACGTCTAACCTGATACATGTATGTTTGTCAGTTTGGTAGGTAGTTTCCTTCAGCCATATCTAGCCCAGTTATGTAGCCATTCAAATAACGGCATGAAATGAAAATAAGTTTACTAATCCACAATTTAAAGCTATAGGCCTAGTCCATCATTTGTAATTAGTGCATTTTGTTCGTTTGAAGCAACAAAAGTGTTCAAAATCTAATGAAGGATACTGAACAACTTACTTGATGAAGTTTCAGCTCAGCTTCAGCTTTATATTCCGAGAAAAACAGCATTCTAGGATCTCAATTTCAAATCAAAAGTTGCTAAATCATGTTTCGAATTGTTTTGAATTGCAGCTTTACGCGATGTCGCGCACTGATCCGACGAATTATAGCAACCGCGCGCGCCTGTGCATCGTTCCAATGCTTATGCGCGCTGCGCCGAATAACAAAACGAGCTACTAATTTAAATTTTCCTACGGTGCTTCTTAAGACGCACCGTTGGAAATGCCTTCTTTCGTTGATTTCTTCAAAATGAGAGCTTGCCAGAAAGGATAATTTCACAGGGAGTTTAATCCCCTTACTATCTTTCAACCAGTATGTTTTTCAACAATAATTACCCCAGTTACTTTTTTGGATAGCTGCAAATGATGGACTCGGGCTTTAATATTGTTGATGTACCTTAACGTGGCGCGGCCCCTAACGTGGCGCAATTTTATTTTTCGCCTGTAGCGCCTAGCTAGAGCAAAAGTTTTAACTGAAATTTCACAGAAAGTGAAATTTCATCAAGTTCTAAACACTCCCGTTCATAAATCGCGAGTTTATTTACCCGTTAAAAGTTAAAAGAAAAAATTATTTTGGCGTGATTTTCCGATTTTATTTTCAAGTGCAAAGTGAACCCATTGAAAATGCCCTGAAAAATAAGAAAATAATTTTCTGACAAACATCTGGCTGGGTTTGTAAGTAAAGATAATAATGATTTATCAGAATTTATCAAGTTTACAGAAATTCTTAAATGTTAATTTGGAATTTTCTAAGATTTATTCAAGTGCGCCACGTTAGGGAACACTCCGCCAATTTGTGCCCAATTTCCGGACGCGACCGTTTTGGCATTTCGGATTAAATTTTATGAAACCGAAATTGTTCACAGAGGTTAAATAGCAAGCATTAAAAAGGTAAAAGTACCAGTATTTCACTGCATGAATTTGAGGTTTGTCAACAAAGAGGTTTGGCAACACTACACGAGGAAAGTCGGGTAAACTTCGAAGTGCGCCACGTTAGGGAACACGACTATATTGTGACTGTCACTCAGTGTCATGACTGTCTAATGTTGTTGGCCATTGCGACACTAATAACGTTAGGTTAGTTCCAACGTGCGCCCCTGTAGGCTGTAGGCTTCAGTGGGAAGTGAAAATACAAATGGTGGTGGTAAGGTTTACATACCTTTGGGAAGAAAAGAGAAATTTTACCTTCAATTCGGGAAACATCCTTGTCACACACGCCTTGTTTGAGGCTGCCATTTTGAATTCAGGAAAAGTGGAAATGTGCATAGGTTTTGATGGCTTTCAAAGTAGGTATGAAAATTCTTCAAAATCTCGTTTGCTAAGCTTTGGCCCGAGAATTGCCCGAGAAAATAATTCCTTTTTTTTGTTTTTGTGTTTTGGTTTCATGTACCGGTAGGCCTTGGGTTTGGAGATTACTGGCACTCTGCAGATGAAAAATGACGGCCGTCAGCCCACTTCGTGTTCCCAGCCAAACCAACCCACTGTATTGCAAACCACACCAGCTGGCTAATCCGTCCGCCAAAGGTGAAAGAGTCCAGTATGAAAAACAGGTACTTCTGATTTTGTGTGGCCTAAACAAAGTTTTGGGGGACACTTACCAGTCCTTAATTCTGTATGACCGTATGACCACATCCCCTTACTGACCAGGACTACTTGTGGGGTACTCTTACAAAGGGAACGGTACCCCACAAGTGAAATCTTTAGAAAAACGGTACCCCACAAGGGAAGTCTTCAGAAAAAGGGATTGAAGCTATAGTCCATCATTTGCAGCCATCTGAAAAAGTAATGGCGTATTATTGTTGAAAAACATACTTGGTTGAAAGATAGTAAGTGGACTACTCCCTGTGAAATTAATCTTTCTGGCAAGCTATCATTTTGAAGTAATCAACGAAAGAAGGCTTTTTCAACGGTGCGTCTTAAGACGCACCGTAGGAAAATTTAAATTAGTAGTTCGGCACAGCGCGCGCAAGCATTGGCACGACGCACAGGCATGCGCGGTTGCTATAATTCGTTGGATCAGTGCGCGACGTCGCGTATAGCTGCAATTCAAAACAATTCAAAACATGGTTCAGCAACTTTTGATTTGAAATTGAGATCCTAGAATGCTGTTTTTCTCGGAATATACAGCTGAAGCTGAGCTGAAACTTTATCAGGTTAGTTGTTCAGTATCCTTCATTAGATTTTGAACACTTTTATTGCTTCAAACGAACAAAATGCACAAATTACAAATGATGGACTATATCTTTAAAAGGACAACAGTGCTCCTACCCTACAAGTTCTTCCTGTGATGTCATCCGTATGACCGTGTATCCCCGTATACAAGTTTAAGTTAAGTTTTTGAAAAAAATGTATAATTTCTACATGCTTTCATTAGTTTTGATGACTCTTGGATGCAGTGACCATTGGGTGGGAAGACACCATTTTTCATTGGATTACTGAGGTCAAAGGTCATGTAGGGGTCATTTGAGGTTGTTTAAAAAAGCAAAAAAAAAAACTTATTTTAAGAACACAAAACATACAGGGAACGACCATTAAAAAAGGCGACACACGCGATCCGTGGATCACCTTGTTTTTTTTTTCAAACTCATAGCCAGGTTTTCTTTGCGGGGTGCCTTAGTGACCCAAGCAGTGTGAAGTTTGTTAAAAAGTCCAAAGTTACTTAACCTACTACATTAGTTCCTGTACTGTCCAGAACCGCCCTGCCTGTTACTCCTTAAACCGTCCCACAACCACCCAAGCAGATTTCACAGATTTAACAAGAATTTAATACAGTGTATGCATGTACAATGTAAATTCATGTGCTATAAAGCTGGGTTAAGAATGTTTCTGTCTTTTGCGTGTGTATTAAGGAGTTTACTGAGTGGATCAACAGGTACCTTCAACAGCTCTCCCCCTCGGCAAGGGTCTCAGACCTTCAAGAGGACTTGGCAGATGGCATCACTTTGCTGCGCTTTGTCCATCAAATAGGTGAGCTTTGTTTCATCTTCTCGTTACTCCGTCATGTACTTTCACCCAGTGTTCTAGGTTTGTAGGCACGTGTGGTCCAGCGGTAGAGCACAGGCTCCATGATCATGGGATTGTGGGTTCGAGCCCCGCCGTGGCCATGCTTGTTGTGCCCTTGAGTAAGGCGCTTTACCTCAATTACTCCTCTCAACCCAGGTGTTGAATGGGTACCGGCATTATTCAATGCTGGGAAGGTAACAGACTCGCTGTGGAGGAGGTGTGGCGATCCCCCCACAGCAGCATATGAGTCTGGCCCAATCGCTGACGAAAGAGAGATGGGCACTCCGTTCCTGTGAACACAGGCTTGTCCTCTTTACTTTCCTTTAACCTTACTAGGTTTGCTGCCTCCTCTCATCAGTATATACCGTTTGTGTTCCAAGCCGAGTCCATCACAAGTCCTGTCACAAGATGAACAATAACAAAGGAATGCCTTTGTCAGCTAGAGCTCAATTGAAGAGCTTGTGAGTTGAATTGGGACTGGAGGACTTGTGATGGACTTGCAGGGACTTGTGACGGACTGGACTACATCCTTGTTCCAAGGGCTTCTATGGTGTTCAAGTTTCTTCACTTGTACTGCCTCTCTGTGGAACTCCTAGCCAAGATATTGCTTTGCCTCCTTCCCCTTATCACAGTTCAAGTGAAATATCAACAGATATCCTTCTCTCTGTTGAACTTGCTTCATTATGTCTTGTGTGTAGTCATCACCTTGAGCTGCCCTTGGCCTTGTGGTCGGCGATTTTTATTACACTAAAGGAAAACATTATCTTTCTCTAAAATCTGACAGTGGAGCTTTTAACTAAATCTTTAGTTTGATTAAAAACATCATTTTGACAGTAATGATTTGTTTTTGGCCCCATAGCATTTGAAGCACCTCCCTGTATTCACACAAGGCCAGCCTTATATGTGCATCGTCTGGAAAACACGGAAGCCTGCTTGTCATTTCTGGATAGACTAGGAGTGGACCTTAACGGGGTTTATGCTGAAGGTAAGTATGAGCTTTGAGGTTGGGTCGGGTTGGGTTGGGTTGGTTTAGGTTAGGGTTAGGTTGGCATAGGTTGGGTTGGGTTAGGTTGGATTAGGCTGGGTTGTATTGGTTGCGTTGGGATGGGTTGGGATTGTTTGGGTTGGGTTGGGATTGGTTGGGTTGGGTTGGGATTGGTTGGGTTGGGATGGGTTGGGATTGATTGGGTTGGGTTGGGATTGGTTGGGTTGGGTTGGGATTGGTTGGGTTGGGATGGGTTGGAATTGATTGGGTTGGGTTGGGTTGGGTTGGGATGGGTTGGGATTGATTGGGTTGGGTTGGGTTGGGATTGGTTGGGCCGAGTTGGGATGGGATTGGTTGGGTTGGGATGAATTGGGTTGGGTTGCGTTGGATTGAGTTGGGATGGGTGGGGTTGTAATAGGTCAGGTTTTGTTAGGTTGAATTAGGTTAGGGTTAAGTTGGCATAGTTGGGTTGGGTTAGGTTGGATTAGGCTGGGTGTATTGGTTGGGATGGGATTGGTTGGGATAAGTTGGGTTGGGATGGGTTGGGTTGGGATAAGTTGGGTTGGATTGAGTTGGGATGGGTGGGGTTGTAATAGGTCGAGTTTTGTTAGGTTGGATTATGTTGGGTTGTGCTGTTTGGGTTGGGTTGGGCTGGGTTGCGTTGGGTTGAGTTGAAATAAGTTGGGATAGGTTAGGTTGGATTATAGTTAGTTGTACTGGTTGGGTTGGTTGTGTTGGGTTGGGATGGGTTGGTTGGGTTGGGTTGGGTTAGGTTGGATTATAGCTAGTTGTACTGGTTGGGTTGGTTGTGTTGGGTTGGGATGGGTTGGTTGGGTTGGGTTGGGTTAGGTTGGATTATAGCTAGTTGTACTGGTTGGGTTAGGCTGGGTTGGGATTGATTGGGTTGGGTTGGGTTGGGTTGGATTTGTTGGGATGGGTTGGGTTGAAATAGGTTGGGTTGGGTAAGTTTGGATTGAGCTGGGCTGTGCTGGTTGGGTTGGGTTAGGTTGATATATGTTAAGCTTGGCTGAGCTGGGTCGGGCAGGTCTGGGTTTCTGGGGTTTGAAATGTTTTGTTGGGTGTGCTTCTTCGTGGGATGGACTTGGTTTAGATTGTGACGAAATTCAGTTTGTATAGTTAAACAGTTTCTTTTGTTTGATCTTTATAGCACCGAACTCCCCTTGGTCTAAGGAGACTAAATTCTTTCATGTTTATTACGAGTAACTTTTTGTTTGTCTTGCAGATGTTGCAGTAGGGAACATCAAGACTATACTGGCCTTGTGTCGTGCAATGTACATCCGCTTTGAAGGTACAAAACATTCTCAACCATTTAAAGTGTCACAGTAGCAGTGATCCGACTGATTTTTATGTAAGTTACATTTCAAACAAATTCTGATTTCTTTGTTTTTTGTTTTTTGGTCAGGTGAAATAATGGAGGACCATCGTTGTCTAAGTCCTATGTTGTCATGGAAACATAAATCACCATCCTCGACCCTCTGTGCTTCCCTTCCCTCCGAGTCCACATGGCCACAGTTTCCATGGAAACAAGGTATCGTTGAAATCGTGCAGATGTCTTAGTTAAGAAGTTAAATATTCAGATCAGTTCAATCCGATTCATTATGTTATTTCCTCAAGGTGAACAAAACTTGGAAGATGAAACTCACTTTTCCAATATACAGTACAAAAAACATTTCATCTCGCAAGTAATTAATACTTAAAATACAAGATCAGGTAAGACAAAAAATGTAGAGTCTTAGAAAAGTTTTAACAAATTGAAAAAAAAAAATCGATTGCCTGGCAAATTACAAATTGTCATTCAAATCTTTACAGCAGATGCAGTACATTTGTTTTGTAAGCTCTTCAGTGAGTTCTAGTGTATGAGCCAGTTAGGTATTTCAATGACCCGAGGTAATTCGGGATAACATCGCCGACGTGATGTTACGCGATGTTAAGCGCATGCCCATTCTGCTGGTAATTTACACGCAAGCGTCGTTCGCCCGCATTCATGCGCCTTCGAAACGTTTGATTATCCCGAATGACCCGTGGCCCATATCATTGTGCACATGCACAGTTGAAATAACGAACAGGCTTATTGGAAAATAAACTTTAAAGGGAATATACATCATTGGCTTTTGCTGTAATTTTCAGAAATGAAATATTTGAGGGGTTAGTATAATAGATCAAATATTGTTACACTCACATGTTTGAAGTTTTGTGTTCGAAAATGCTGGAAAAACCAAAAAAACAAAACTTTTTAAGTAGTCTGGTTCCCTGACTCCACTAAATATAAAATGGATCAATTTACAGATGCCGCAAAATTGTAAGGTAAGGGTTCCAGTCTAGCTGGCCTGCACCCGTTCATGGTAACCAATAGCAAACAAAATTTGGACTGAATTAATGGTAAATTTGGAGCAGTAGTTGAAAAATAGTTAGGTTTTTCCAACGGTGGTCAGCTGACCACCGCTGGAATTTTTTACAAAAATACCATTTTCTTGAAAATGACTTCACACCAGGTGCCATAGATTTACAGGATGCTTTAGACTGTCATTTACCAACATCCTATTAAGGTATTTCGCAAAAACTTGGTAGTTTTATTTTTCGATGTTTGCAAATGTTGTATATTCCCTTTAATATCTGGATAAGTCATTACTTTTTTTTTTTGTAATTGATTTTTTTTTTTTCTTTAATCCTATTCAAGGAGAAGAAGAACTTCACATGAGTTACCAGTGCTCTGCACCGGAGGTAGATGAAACGGCTGCGACGGAGACTAGACCAGACAACAGCATCTTCACCGTGTGGTACAAGGAGGACATGGCGGTGATTGGCTGGATACGGAGACTACTAGGGCTGGAACTCAGAGATTACTCAGAGTAAGGATATGGACTGATCCAAGACCCGCCCACCTTTTTGATTTGTGCACATGCACTTCTCACAGTGTCTGTGACCTGAATTGTGGTCACCTGACCAAATGTCGTGATCTAATTGGTCACGTGCACTGTTTGCTGTGATGTCACTTTTAGGAACACCCTCTACTGATTAAGGTTTTTCTCTTAAAACTGCATACCCAAAGTCATTATTGAACACATTTGTGCATAAAGTTTTCTCCATGTCTTACTGTCATATACTGAAACAGCAATGAACCACTGCAAGCAGAAAAGCAACCACACCAAACCCCTACAATTCGTGGTGACTATTTGTGCTGAAGTAGGGGTGAAACTGAAGTTTCTGTCTTGAATTAAATCACAGTTTTGTTCAAGAAAATGGCAATTTTCATTAGCATAAAAAAAAAAAAACGCCCATGAAATGGCACTATGAAGATTACAAATAAAGTTTGTAATAAATAAAGTTTGTAATAAATGGAATACAAAGGTACCGGGTGAGTTAAAAAAAAAAGCGGAACCCAAACCCCCAAAATTATATTTAAAAAAAAATTGTAGCACCAAAACAATAATGACTGGAAAGCCAATTTCATAAGGTACTTTTAGATGAAAAGGTGACTAAAATTGGTCCATCCGTTCAGAAAATATCACCATTTGAACACAATGACCCTAAAACCTGTCTCATCCAAAAAAATGCGATTTCAAGAATCGTCGTCTCAATTGTCTTCAAACATCACCAGCGATAAAATCTCAGTTTAAGCGTTAAAAATATTAAACAGAATCCATTTAATGGCCCGTCCTTTAAAAAAGAAGATTTTATAAATCATATTGTTTGCCTAACCGGGGTTGTTAATAAAGATATTATGTACCACACTTGTTGACAGTTGGTGAAACAAGTATTCTGTGTCATTTTCTTTGTTCAAACAGTCAAAACACACAATGAATTGCCTTTTTTGGACGAGACAGGTTTTAGAGTCATTGTGTTTAAAAGGTGACATTCTTTGAATGGATTGAGCAATTTCAATAATTTTTTCATCTAAAAGTAGCTTATGAAATTGGCTTTCAAGTCATAATTTTTTTGGGGGGCTACATTTTTTTTCAAATATGGAATATATTTTATGGGGTTTGGGTTCCGCTTTTTTTGACTCACCCTGTACATTTCAAGGATTGCTTTAAAAAAATAATTTCATTACATGCATGGGCCCTTTAATTGCAGATAACATTTCTTGCTAAAATGTCAGAGCCCACTTATACATCCCTGATGTAGAGACTTTTTTTTGTAACCTTCTTCAGAAATCCATTTTCCACTTTGATATCTATATGTTATTTTGGGAACTCTCTACTAGAGAGTTCCCAAAATAACATATAGATATCAAAATGGAAAATGGATTTCTGAAGGAGGTTACAATTAGTTTTTATAGAGATTGTTTCTTATTGGTCAATTTCAGATTTGCTGATGGTATTCTTCTGTGCGCCATTGTGAACCAACTGTGGTCTAGCTGCATTACACAAGAGGTGCGTTTTTCACTGCCTGTACACTTTTTCATAATAATAATAATAATAATAATTTGGGAGGCTAATCATCCTTACTCGCAGCTGGTATGCTGAAATGCAAAGGACGCAGCTACAACGTGGTCCGGCCGCTGGCACGTAAAGGCGCCTATGGCTGCCGGCCACATCGACCCATATATGACCACGGAGCACAGCCTGAGATCAAAAGTGTTTGATTTTTCCGGAGGGAGGAAAACCGGAGGGCCCGGAGAAAAACCCTCTTGGCACAGGAGAGAACCAACGCACAACTCTACTCACATGTGATCCGCGGCCAGGATTCGAACCGTGGTCACCTTGGTGAGAGGCGAGCGCTTTACGCACAAGCCACCCATGCCACCCTTAAACGGAGTTCTTTCAGGAGACCTGTATGGTCCGCTCATGAGAGTCAGTATAGTGGACATGTTGTTTAGTAATTTGTAGTGTGTGCAGGGCCCCAGTGGTAACCAGTTTTAAACTGTGTGGGCATACCCTGGGTAAAGAAATGTAAAAAATATACTATTGTTGACTAGTGTGGGTTTTTAGTGGTCAGGCTGTACTCGAAATTTATTACTAACACTGGACCCTCTCTCACCGATTTCACATCAGGAGGTCCTCTACAGCACCCCTCTTGAGCGGCTGGAGATTGCCACCGAGACTGCTGAGCACTTTCTGGGAGTACCCAGGACCGAGCTGGACCTCCAGGCAGTGTCCGTCGGACAGGGACGAGACACGCTGCCCTGGTACCTGCTGGAACTCAAAGCTGCAAGCGAACGGGTCTTTCAGGTATTAATGCTGAGTTAACACATTTCCCAATTTGTAAGCCGAATTGCCGCGGATAGCAATTCTTGAGTAAATCAGGGAATGGTTCTTCCAGTTGGCTGCCTCGGGATGATTCTGTTGGTAGTTCGGTGAAATTTAGATCGTTACAGATCGGGAAGTGCGACATATTCAAAATTGTCGGGTTGATTCGGGAAACAATTTCAATTCTTGGTTTATTCTTGTTGTATTTGTAAGTTATTCTGGATATTTTTACAGCATTCTTACAAGTTTCGTAGAGATATTTTGGGTGTTAACAGTGCAGAATCATGCCGAATACTGAATTACGAATGTATCAAGAAATGTACGAATATTATAATAATAACTTACGAATACACTAAATCGGCAAGATTCTGGGTCATTCTTGATGGTTCTTGAGTTATTTGTTTGTTATTCTTGACAAAATCGTTACAATTCGGATTTATTCTGCCCTAAATCGCATTCATTCAGGTTGGTTCCGTCTGATTCGGCTCCCAATTCGTACCTAGTTTTTGATTCGTTTTGTTTTATTCTTTGAAACAGCGAATCGGGGCTAATTTCTCCGATGCCATCAAGATTTTTTATTCAGGATAGATCGGGGTATTCGTGGCAATAAGTCGGGAATGTTAAACCTAGCATAAGTGAGTGATTGAAGTTGTGATACTACAGAGTGTTGAGAGCGCCCTCTCTTGTCCTGTATTGGCAAGTTACAGTCCGGACATCAAACAAATTAGAGGGCCTACTTTTCGGATCCTGGCAGAACCTTTCACAAAGGCAAAAGGAACATTAAACAGATACTGCGCTGTTTGTCATGTACCTCAATGCAAATCCTTATTAATTAACGGTTACTACCAGGTAACATGTAGCTATTGAAAAGTAAATGTGGATTAGTTTTGGTGGTTTTAGTTGTTTTATTGATGAATTTTTTGGGGGGAGGGGTTTCTTCTCTAGGTCTATTTGTGTCGGGTTTTTGGTAACTGTGTGAAGGTATAGCTGCACTGATCATCCATAATGTTGTTTTTGTCCTGGTGGTTATTGCACATCCACATTGGAGTAAAAACAAGTAAGCAAATTAAACAGAATTGGACTGGTGCGAAACAAGAAAAATAAACTTGAAATAATACTGCGGCCAATTTCACGGCGCTGCTCAGCACAATAATGTGCTTAGCACAAAAAAGTATGGCTTATAAAAGCAGGTTACCAGCCAAAACTCCATGTGATTTATATTGCTCGCGATTAGTATTCTGGTAACCTGCTTTTATAAGCCAGACTGTTTTTGTGCTAAGCAAATTTTTGTGCTGAGCAGTGTCGTTAAATTGGGCCCTGGAAAGTTCTTTTTGTTTATTCGTGGCTCATATGAAACAGGAACATGTGGCAATGGAAGAAGAAAAAAACAAGAGCAGAGACGAGGAAGAAGCTGTCAATCGGATGCGGCGGCATCTCCTCCGGCAACACTCCAGAGAGATAGCATCGGTCGCACCAGCAAGTCATCCCATCCAGGAGACCCAACCAACCACTCGCAGACCCACGCCACTCGTCAAGGGTGGTCGGCAGAGCGCTGAGTACACAACAAATGTCTCAAAGATGGACAGAAGTTCACCAACAGCACCTTGGATGGATGAGATGGACCGGAGAGCATCTCAGAAAGCAAGACAGGATGGCAGACAGGATCGCATCCCGGAGATGCCACGAAAGACCAAGGAGACAAGGAGAGATGCAGACCGAACAAGATTGCCTGACCAACCGTCTACGCCGAAATCTGCAGGGCATCTCGATCATATCCCGGCCACTTCAACTTCATCAGCATCTCCTAAAGATGAGACAGTCAAGGCAGTTGAGCGGTTGGAGACCAGCCTGGTCTCTCTCATGCAGGAGGAGACGAGAGAATCCCCTTCATCCGATCAAGGAATGCAACATAATCTTTTGGAGAAGCAGCAGATCAGTAGCAGCGGTGCTCCCCTAGTCGTCTCGAATCTTCACCCATCCTTGATGACTGCTCCCCCAAGAAGCGCAACACCATCCTTGCCTAAGAATCTTCCGCAGCCCAACATCGCCACTTTCTTCTCGCCCTACTCCATGCCTTTTGTCTCCGTAGAGAGGCGGGGTCCGGCTGCCAAGTTTGATAACCCTTCCAGGAATTCCTCTTCCAGCGTTGTCGAAGACGACAGCCTCGCAAGAGGCAAGCTAACCTCATGGAGCGATAAGAATGTGAGAGAAAGTCAGAACAGAGACAAGTAAGTACAATTTTGTTGTGGAGTTCTACTCTGCAGGATGAAAATGCTGTATTTGCATCAGATTGGAATAGCAATAACCTGCATAGTTGTCCTAAACTACTATTTTGTTGATGTACTGGGTGAGTAAAAAAAAACGAAACCCAAATGTCGAGACCATTGTTTTAGTGAAGTTCCGCATGTAGCACTTTCAAAATCTAGGATATGAAAAGCCCCATTCATAAGCTTTCTTTTAGTACAAGAATCATTCAAATCACTCATGTTCTTTTCAAGTTACGGAGTTTTAAACACAACCACTGTTTTAAAGTTCTGTCCACGGATCACAAGATGGTAAGCATTCTTTCAGCAAAACGAAAACAAATCACATAGGGATGTGTGTGAATTGTTTTCGTTTTGCTGAACGAACACACCCTTTTTAGTGATTCGTGGACAGAACTTTAAAACGGTGGTTGTATTTAAAATTCTGTAACTTGGAAAGTACATGAGTGATTTGACTGATTCTTGTACTAAACGAAAGCTTATGAATTGGGCTTTCATATCCTAGATTTTGAAAGTGCTACATGCAGAACTTCACTAAAACAATAGTCCCGACATTTGGGTTCGCTTTTTTTGACTCGCCCTGTATTTATAGGTTCTTTTGAGGGTTTATTTTTAAAGACCAAAAGGGCGGCATTTTTCCCGCCAACTGACTAAGATATTGATTGATTGACTGACTGACCGACTGAGTCACTGAGTGTAAACATTCACTTGGAACTATTTTGATTTCCCTTTTACACAAATCTTGTGCATCTTTTTGGTCACGTAGGCCAAGCAAAGAACCAGTGTTGCCACGGAAACCTCCCGGTAACATCAGCGCCACCATGCTGGCAAGATTGGCTGCTAGATCTCCAGGGGGGTTAGCTGGAATGAGCTCTTCCGATTCCGACGGCGACTGATGACGGGGAATTTTTGCCGAATGGAACCCATGTTATGTTGCTGAACTGCAAGAGGCTTTTTATTGCAGAGGTAAATTCTTCTTCGGGTAGGTTAAGGTAAAGGTATCCCATAGCCATTACTGGCCATAGGGGCAATGGGATGTTAGAGGTCCACTGTGTCTTGGGCCCGGCATATGAGTGGCAGGGCCCAGTCCTCTCCTCTCGCCGTCTTACCTTCCCTGAACGAATCAGGTACCTATTTTACTGTTGGGTCGTCAGAGAGAGTTTTCCAGTTTTTGGTCCAAATGGGATTCGAACCGCCAACCTTCCACTCCGTAGCTCCACGCTCTAACCGCTCGGCTACAAGGCCCCTCTTCTTTGGAGTTGTATTAAATAAATGAAATAGAGGCCCTAACATTTGATCTTCGCAGGATCTCTCTAAAGAAAATGAGAATGATCAGACAAGCTAGGATTATAACGTCACTTTACATTTTTGTATTTACAATTTTTTTGGGGGGGGAGGGGTGGCAATGATGTCATTTCCCCCCCCCCAAAAAAAAGAATGCCACTTGCTGTAACTGTTTACTTTCTGCATTGATCAAACATGTACAATACAAAAATATAAATCTGTCACAACTTTGTTTACTTGGGCCGCAGCGAAGAGCGCTGTGTATTGTCCAATGGTGACCAATATCGTCTGCCTTGAACAGCCCCTCCAACAGTCAGATGTTGTCAAACCCTCCCCCCCCTCCCCCCCCCCCCAACACTTACCACCCTGGAAGACCTGTCAGCAAACTTGTTATCAACCCCCTCCCCCCCCCCCCCCAATTCAAATCAGTCTGACGACATACCGGCTTTTTATTTCATGATACATGTACATCACATTAAATAAAATATTGCTCGTTGTCACGAGAGTAATTGAAACGGTCATAAAAAATCTCTTTTAGATGTTGGTATAAATATATTATCAAGTATTTGTCAGATAGCATTGGTTTATGGAGAATTTGTTCAAGGAGGCTGATAGTTTAAGGGAAAAGTGCTGGTTGTCTTTGGTCTAGCTGCAAACCAACTCTTGTGAAGAGGCTGACAGTTTCAGAGAAAAATGCAGGTATCCATTGCCAATCAGATCCTATGACGCAGAATCTTGTGACTTGCGGGTTTATGTTTAATGGTCATTCAACTTTTAAGTTCATGCAACTTTGAACAAAAACTGCATGTGCTGAGCACATGCAATTTTTGTTCAAAGTTGCAGGGTGTGCAAATAAATGTATTATTAGGCCCAAAAAAAGGCTCTGGTTTCTGGTCTGCGCGTCGCCGTAGCCATGCGCGTCGGCAAATTTTAAAACACAAATTTCAATGTAAAATGATGTCTCAAAGCAGCCAAACTCACTGGTTTGACTGGAATCCTGCTGCTGCACAATTTTAACATGTTTTTAGATGGGGTTATGATCGAGTATATGCTTTATGTGGCCTCTCTGGACTCCCATATATTTGCACTAAATTTAGTCGGGCACCATGTGCAGTCATCAGCCGTCATTTGAAAAAAAAACGCTTTTTGGGCAAGCTCCATACCAGAAACCGAAGACTTTTTTTGTGGCCTAAGGTCATGTTTGCTATGGTGTGTGTTAAAAACAATGATATCTATGTACTTTGTTATACATGTATTAATAATCACTACAAGCAGTGTGTGTAGCAGTGCATACAATTGTACTTTACTAATTTTATTTTGGAATTTCCACTGATTGAAGATATTTTTTGGGGGGAAAGAATGCTTCCAGTTTTAGTAACAAGCAAAATGTACTACAAGATGTGTTTGTTGGTTACGGTATTTTACTTGAAATTGAATAACTTGTTTTTACTCAATATTTGATAAAAATGTAACATTTATTGTCTGAAAGAAATCAGCAATCTGGGCGTCTCCAGGACTTTTTCTAGAGGGGGCTAAGCACATAATTTCCCAAAATCCTTGTAATTTCTTTAGCATATTCTCAATTTATCATTTTTCGGGGGGGGGGGGGACATTTGCCCACCCACTCCCATTGACACCCTTGCGGCCGCCCATGTTAATGTGTTTTTAAGAAGCAGTCTGCCTCATTCCTCTGCTGATTTGAAAATCACATTCACTCTTTCTGCATTTGAATTTAAACTTTCCATGCCTGAACTCTGCAGTCGATTTTTTTTCTGTTGAATTTCCACATTTGTTTCCATTTTTTATATCTTTAAACATTTTTCTACACTATTTTTCTACATTGTTCTTGAATGTAGCAAAACATATTGTTTTACACTGTCTTGGCCTATTTTAAGACTGTATTGGGAATATTTACAATATTTTGGATAATTAACTGCAACTGTTAGGTTTGCAGTTTATTTTTGTATCTATTTAATAATATTCTGGACTGTGTGTAAAAAGTTGAATTAAGTTTGAGTCAACTGTAAACTAAGTTGCACTGTGTCTTCGAGTTTTGGCTGAATAGTTGCTGTAAGCTTTCCGTAATTGAAATCTAGGTGATGGTGTAATTATTGATAACAGTTTTGGAAAAGCTTATACTTATATATGGCTATTTTTCATATATTTAAATATACATTTTGCCTTTCTTGCCCAGTTTGGAGTGCATTATGGGTGAAGTTTTCGTATTGGTTTGTAAAACTGTCTTTCCATTCGGGTTCCTCTTGTGAGAAATATTTCGAAGTCTTGCCATATTGTTTTCAGGGTAAAGTGTTTGTGAAGTACATTGTATTAAAGTTTTGTGTAGACATGTTTAGTTTTACAGGCTGAGTAAAAAAAACACACGAAAGCAGGACCAATTTTTTATTGAAGTTCTGCATGTAGCACTATCAAAATCTAGGATATGAAAGCCATGAGGTAAGCTTTCTTTTAGTACAAGAATCGTTCATAAGTGTTCTTTCAGCAAAACGAAAACAATTCACATGGGGATATATGTGAATTGTTTTCGTTTTGCTGAAAGAACACCTACCTTTTTTGTGATCCGTGGACAGAACTTTAAAACGGTGGTTGTGTTTGAATATCCGTAACTTGAAAATTACATGAGTGATTTGAATGATTCTTGTACTGAAAGGAAGCTTACTAATTGGGTTTCATATCCTAGATTTTGAAAGTGCTACATGCAGAACTTTATTAGGAAAATGGTCCTGCCATTTGGGTTTTCTTTTAATTTTTTTTACTTGCCCTGTATGCGATTCAATCATTGTCTTGTCGTCCAATAAAGGTGCAGTTGAAGTGGTAGAAGTAAAGACGGCCTGTCGTTTATGCCTTTTTTAAGATAACTATTTTTTTTTTCATTTGCTATTTTCTTAGCAAAAAATACCTATTAACTTTTGATTGAGACATCAAACGAAAAAAAAAAAACACCGACATTTAGTAAACGCATTATTTCTTTGCAAATTCGAATAATTGGCGGCTCAACAATATTAATTAAAACTCTCGCAGGGCGGAATCATTTATACGCAAAAAGAGAACGCCTTATTAAACAGGTTTGCAGACTCCCAAAATCGGGACAAGGGGAGTTATTTTTTTTTCGTTACACAAAATTAAAATTCGTTAGAAGATTTTTTTACCGAGCGCGTACTGGGTGCACATTCTTTGCGGTTAAGAGACCGAGACCGCTAAGGTTGCATAGCGCCCTCTATAAAATACATGTGTAAAAAAAAATCTTGGTAAATAATGCATTATTTCGCGCGCTTGCCCGTACTTACTTGTGTCACTTGATTTGATGATTCAGCGAACTTAAGTTAAAATTTTCTTTATATTTATAAACTAATTTAGTAACGCTGTTGACCTTAAAAGTAAAAGCAGCACTGTTTTTTTTTTGGGGGGGGGGTTAAAGAAAAGCTCGAATTACGCTACAATCACGCTTAGAGAAACATAACAAAAACCTTTCAGACTAAAGGAGAAATCATAACATCACTGTGCCACTTTCCTATCCCCAAAAGAAGACCAAACATATTGAGCCAATGATGCCTGATATTGATCAACTTAAACAAATTCAGACGAAACCCACACAAACTGGATTTTTTTCGAACCGCGGCATCTGTTGCGTGTAAAGTTTACAGAGCAGTACAGTCTAGATAACTCCAGAACGTGGACAAAAAAATTCCATCACGCTATTTGCTTTCACAAAGCCGCACCTAGTGGCGCAGCTTATCGTAAGTCAGACCGAATTTAACACGAAGCATTTTCCCATGGATTTGTAACAACCGTGCAATTTCTTTGTAAAAACGATATATTCCTTCCTAATATAAGAGTATTCTTGGATCTGTGTTTTGCAGGAGAGTTATCAACATTGCTACTTATTTCTGTCCTTCAGAATCAGATATTTGTTCTTGTCCTAGAGAAGATCAAAGAAATGATTTTCAAAAAAGGATGCGATGTCATGGCAACGATCTATGCCTCTCTTTGGCTCGTCTGTACGCCAGAAGAAAAAAAAAACAGACATCGCAGACAGCAGGAAATTTACATTTTGATGGGATTTAGCTTTGCCTATACCAGCATTTTCATAAGCTTAATCCATAAAAATAAAAAATCGGCCTACGCACACGACTAGTGTGTGGGTGTGTGGGTGTACGTATTTATTCCTGTGTTTTGAGGGTAATTTTTGCCATGTTGACCAAATTATTGCTTTAAACGATATAGGCTAGAATTTTTATTGTTTGCTTTTAGATTAAAGGATGCCACATAACACTATACCAGTAAATACAAAATTAGGTACTTTTAAAATATAAGTTTGTCAACATTAATGAGCTTCCCCACTGTACAAATATCCACATCTAGAACTGAAACAAATATTCCAAAAAGTTGGCCGTGACATCGGAATTAGTATGAAAAGACGAAGAGGTCAGACAAATTGGGTTCGATGTACCCATTAACAAATATGTGACTAGATATTTTTATCACGAAAACTTAAAAGGGAAACCTTTTCGTGCCATGTAAAACAAAAATGCAGTAGCACCCTGAACATTCTTGAATAATAATTAGATAATAATTGTATACATTACACAGCAATTAAAATAATTATTAACAGGGGTGTATTGAATACATTTTCACCATGTACAAAGCCACGCCACTTCTACAGCTTTGGCCATTATACAGAAGTAACAGATATTCGGTTTTTTTAACCATTTTCTGCGTTTAAAAAAAATGCTGGCATTTTTGGGTTGTTTTGTTTTGTTTTGGTATTTTT